GAACGTCGGGAAAAGCCCAAATGCGGCTATCCTCGCCAGTTACCTGGATAGTGTTCGTGTTGTTTGAAACGAGAGGCAAGTTCGTGTTCGTCGAGCCTTCTTGTGAAAAAAACCCCGCGAACGGGGTAACGGTGAGACTTCATCCCATATTTCTACAGCCACTATCGGCAACAAAGCACTATTTTGGTCCTTTCTGGGGCTCAACCCATGTTGTGGTTTAAAAAGCTGCCTTTAAAACAGTTTACAATTTACATCAATCATTGGGGAGTTTTATCAGATTTTCCTCTCACTACAGTGTTTATTTATATATATTCTCACAGCCTCTAAAAGGTTATTCACTGCCTCATATTTACTTATATAATTCTGAACACCTGGACTCCATGGTGTAACTGAGAGAGCTCAATGCCACATTTTCCTACATGTATACAGATTAATAACCAGGACTGGAATTCCCCTCTGTTTTATTCTTGTACATATAGCTTAATGGATGTTCTTCTCCTCTACGTTTTTGGAAACTAAGGTGTCAGTTGAGTTAAAGTCATGTCCATATGAGGCACACTGGGGATTAAGAAATTGTCTTCTAAATAGCCTCTGCAGCAGTTACCGTGTTTAGTGCCGGGCATGTGGTGTTTCCCAAACTATGGTATTAAAAAAAGAAACCCGTTTTGTGCCAATGCCACACTTTTTATCAGTGTGTGAATGATGTAGGTTTCAAGTGACAAGTACACAGCATTCCAAGTCAGTGTACTTTTGCCAAGAAATAACGAAGACGGGTGAATGTTTGTGTGTGTTTGCTTAGCTATTGAGCTCTGTAAAAAAACAGATTTCTTCTCCAGTGACTTTACGTAAATGTCTACATAGAACTTTTACAGAGATTAGTCACTAGAATGAAAAACAATCAAAAATAAAACTTGTGATTTTAGATGGAAAGTCTGGACTGCTCTAATGGGTGGGATCAGACTGAAATGCCAATGGTATATGCTCTTTCTGTAATGACACAAACAGGCCTGGACTGGCAATTGAGAACACTGGATAAAATGCCCAGTGGGCCACAATGGTCATAGGCCATTTGGAAGATTGGGGCATGACAGCTGTGGTAGTTTTGCAGTGGAGTGATCGATCAAAGGCCCGAGGCAGGAAATCACATTGACTTTAAAATTCCCCATATTATGCCTAAAAACTGGCCACAGAGTGAATCTAGGAAGGCAGTTAATTAAGGGATGTGCTTCCTGCTAAGATTTCTGATCCCTTGTGAAAAGCCAAGCTGGCAGGGCTGGAACACGCTGATCCAAGTCAGTATGTGCTGGGACAAATTGATGTTTCTGTCCGGTCTTGAGCACAAGTAAGCTAAAACATATTTGATATCTAGGTGGGCACTAACCGAAGGACAAGCTACTGAGTTTTTGCCCATTCTCAGTATATGATCTGCAGCTTTAATATAAAAGCTCTATGGAACTGTACCATCAACGTCACTATTGTTAATACCTAGTCATAGGTTATCTGCTGATCTTAAACTGTTCCTGAATTAAATCCTTAATATCTCCATCCATTCATTGGCCATCTTTGCATTTTCAACTTTTTTTGAAATGCAATTTAATGATTCTCAGTATGCCAGCACAGTGTGATAGGTATGCCTCCAACGCCATATTTTACTTTATGACTTTCTATATATAGTAGACAGTTAAAATATAATAGGTTAAAATCTCCTCTGAACAGAAGACTTAAATGCAGTAATTTTATTTGAATGCATTAGTTGCAATACACATGAAATAATGTTTCAAAGTTGCCAGTAATAGATGAGCTATGGGTGGGAGATCCAGCCATTTTATAACCTTTTTATTATTAATGTATATGATCTGTACAATGTGAGCATCAACAAAAGTCATTAATTGTTGGATTCCTTGACACATTAGTACCTAATCCCCCAGAATGCTGTGCCATTTTCAATGAAGGAATCTCTTTGAAAGCTTGCAAGGCCAGATATGACACGTTTTGTCCTTTACTTACTGCAACCATCAAACCATCATTTGCCAACGGCTCTTTGGCCTATCACCTGGTAATATTAGCGGGTGTTTACTTTAACTAATTCAAAGATTTCCGGACACACTATCATGAAATCATGTTTGATTTTAAATTGCACTGTTATTGATATTTGACATTAACTGTGTTTTGTACGCTGGCACACACACACACATGGTTAATCAATAAACACTGAATTAAATTCAAATAGCAAAACAGAAACAAAAATAGCCAAATTGTAAATATGGGTAAATTGGAGAATTTTTCCAGATGAGCTGTTTTTAACTTAGTTTTACAATTTGGATGTATTTTTTTTTAATAAAAAACCAGGGTTAGTAAATAATACACTAGCTGTATACTTATTGTATTCTAATTACGTAGCCAACTTTATAAAGAGGGTGAAATGCATGTATAAAAGAATCCATGAATCTACAAACACATAAAA